TAACATCAATGGGTCTAATAACCTGTGGCATCTCCAGGGGATGGAGGTAAAGACGATTAAAACTCCATTAAGTTCCATCCAGAGACTGAGGTTTCCAGTGGCAGTAAAAAGGACTTGAAGTATGTGTATAAAATACTGAATTGCTATCATTCATGGAAAGGCAGGGAGCGTTGCATTGAGTAAAGCCAGAGTGCAGCGTTTGAGCCATAGATGGCTTCCAAGCAGTTTAAAAGCTTCTACGACTACATTACCTGATCAAGTCTGTGCTGGTACGGAGGCTGCTAGCAAGTAAGCAGGGGCTTACAGCCCTTGTAAATACTAAAGATGACTTTGCTGGGTTGTCTTAGATGCAACCGCACAAGTACAGCCTTACCTCTCCGCACTGTGAGCCACTCCAAGAGCTCCACTCCTGACTATGCGAGGTCTGTGTTTTGTATCTTGTGGCTTTTGGCCCTACGATGATGAAGGGTATGGCTTATAGGGTCAAAATGTTTGCACTGAGGCTCTCTTTCCTTTCAACTTCATAGCAACCTGATTTTTTGCTCTTTGAATCTGACACTGTAGTTGCTAAGACGTCCTTTCATCACAAAATGCTTTCTTAATGGCAGAAAAAGGTATAACGTAAACTAAAAGTGAAATGAGTCTCATAAAATTACCAAAATAACTTTCAATAAGGCTAGGGGAAAGCTTCTAGGAAAGCAGATGGGACATTTTATGGCATAGATGGAGAATTCAGTGATTGTTATCCACTCGCAGCCACTTGTGCACAACAGATCTCACCATGTGACTGGTTCATAGAATTGTTGGTTGGGCTTTTGACCTGTTTTTTCCTTTCTAGTTCACTAGTTCGATTCTATCAATTCTATCAGAAGTATGTAATGGGCCAATAGCTGGCCAATAATTTAAGGGGCCTATCAGAGACTAGACAGAGCGTTTAATCTGTTTTTTCTGTCTTGTGTGGGTTTGTTTTGTGAAAATCTTAGTAGAAACCTCCATCCTAGTGGTCATTCAGCGCAACAATCAGCACTAAGTGTACCAAAAACAAAGAAAAAGAAAAATTACATTTTTGTTTGACCCAGAGACTTCAGTATCTCTCTTGTGTAAGTGTTTCTGTCACATAAATTGTATATATTGCCCTGCCTCTAGCTAGTTTTAAGACAACTAGTATCTAAGTTACTATTTATGGTAATATAATGCTATAGGAAAGCATTACAGTTTCTTAACAGTTGAATAAGTAGTGCTGAAGCAAAGAACTTAGTTATGAAAGTTATCACTCTTGTACACAAGAATACAAAATGTGTACCTTTCACTACAGTTCAGATACACAGTTCTATTCTTATTGCTAATACCATCTTTTGATCCTAATCTGACTTTAAAAGATATCCCATAGTGTTTAATTCCAAATATTTATTCTTTAAGAGGCCCTGGTATTTTTTAAGGAAGAAATATTTTTAAAAATATTAAATTTTATTTGAAAATATTGCACATTTTACTTTTAATTGTTTTACAGTTCAAATTGTAAGGTGTGTTCTTTTTTGTTCAAGAATTTTTAAAGCAACTAATTTAAATATGCAAAATTATCTTGAGTTGTTCATACGTGAACTTAAAAGCCATGCAACACAGGAAAATTAAGTAATTATGCCTCCAAGTTATTTACTGCAATTAAGCTCATTTATCATATGCAAATTAGTGCAAACTGGTCTCATTAGTTACTAAATTACTCAATATGAGCTGAACAATGTAGCACTCCAGTTTGTAATGAAAAATCCCTGTAGAGGCAAGCAGTATCAATTAGGCTAATTTGCATATGCAAATATATTCACCAACTTTCCCTTTTCTCTATATTTAGTTCTACATTTCCTGATCATTCCTGATTATATGAAATATATAGGGTTACTGACCCTTTTCCATATCTCCTCAATAGTAAGGAAGTCACAGGAAACATCCAGGGGCCTCGTATAAACTGATCATCCTCTTGCTAACGTTTACAACCACTTTGAGCCACATTTTTCCATATCAGAAACAGAATTAATTTTTCACTGTGTTTATAAATAAATATAAAAATATACACAGATATGTTAAACTGAAGATATCTTTACTGAAGCCTACTCTCACTATAATATCACTTTTCAAAAAAAGATGAAGATGAGTGTAGAATATAATAAAGCATAGAATTTGGCAGATCAAAAAACTTTTAAAAAAATAATGGACATATTCTTGTTATCTGTTTTTTTCCCCTCTTTTGCAAGTGTTCCTACGGCTCATCATCCAGGCATTTTTAGTTGGATTACATTTAAAAGGCTTTTTGCCCCGATTGTGGAGATACTGATAACTGACATAACAGCATTTGGGCATTGCTGTTTTGGTGTTTCTTTTTTTCAGGAGCACTCAGTGGATAGTTTCTTTGGCTACAAACCTACTGCGGGAATTGTCTCTTCAGTATGATATACAGCAATTGGCTGTGGCTTGGAATTTTTTGAGATGACTGACTAAGACTACTTGCTTATAGAATCAAGATATAAAATATCACAAGGTGCTCCTCCATTGCCATATTTACTTCACTATAAATAAACTATATTCACTTTTTAAACATACTGTATTATGTTCTTGTGTGTCTATCAATAAATTTTGAAGTATCAAAATATTAGGAAGATTAGAGAGCCTCACTAATTTCTGAGCTTACACTTATCCCAGTCTTCAAAATATTAATAGCAAAAGGGATTAAACAAACTAACTATTAATACAATTTCTTCAGACAGCAGACTTTGAAAAACATAGGTATTCCCAAGGTATAACTATTTTGCAAGGTTCTTTGCTTCACTTTCAAACAACACTTATCAGAATACTGCTTTGAAAATTATTTCTAGGAGCAATACCCTACCTAAATCAGAACTTGTTAGAACAGTACTCCATTGCTGAATCTGTCTGATTGCTGTTTTACGACTCTTTTGGTCTTGTGGAGATTATTTTCCTACCTATAATACCACAAGGCAGTGCTTCGAAGTTCCTGCAGATTTAAGTGGTGCATTTGAATGCTTGACCTAGACTTTCCTGCGAAGTGTTGATCACACTGCTAAAATAAGACAAGATTCTAACATATGACAAACTTGCCACCATTATTGATTCATTGTGTCCTTTATCCATCATCAACAAGTCTATTCTCACTTAAATGTCAGAGCAGAACTTCCTACTATCAATTTGGCTAAAGATTAATGGGAGTAATTTGGTAAAAGCACCACCCTCTCCGAAAGGCCACACCTCAACAGATATTCAATACAGTATTGATGGTGATTTTGACTGAAAATCCTCAGTTACAGATAAAAATGCAGTAGAGATTTACTAGTGCTATGATAAGGTTATATCTGGAAAAGACCATAATATATCACATATCAGTAGAAAAAAGAAGAGGCGGCAGGGGACATCTAGCTTACATAAGCAATAAAATCACTGACTGTCTTAAATATGTGGTAAGTGAAAAACTCAAACGTCAAATAGTTTTCAAGGTGGTCATCTTCCTTTTTTTCCCTCATATTAGCTAACTGAATCATGTATTCATGTAGGGTCATACTTAATACCTAAAGAGTTTATATAAATCAGTCTCAATGAGGTTTTATGTAGATATTTGTGATAATATGTATTATAAAAAATACACCTTTAGGCTATATAGTGCATATTTATATATATTCAAAGCAACATGCTCACAAATTACACAAACTGAAATATCACAAAACTACTGCTTACTTATTCATTTTTTCTACATTTATGAGACAGTATAATAGCATTTCTGTCTAATATGCAAAACAGTGGCATAGCTATCAGTGCAGATATCTTTGGTACCGTAACCATAACACAAGCATTTGCTTACAAAAACAAAAACTTGAACTAGACCTCTGCCAAGGGTATACAGCTACGTAAATCACTCCCATTCATAATCTCTGTTTCAAAGAGAAATTCATTCTACTGGTTAATTTCATGTTTTCCTAAAATTATCTTTGTTGCTATTCTGCACTTAGTTACTTTAAAAAGATGTGAAAAATCTGGCATTATCCATAGCGCTTTTGAATGCCACAGCTGAGGTAGTACAGAGAGCTACCTCTCAATCATTTCAAATTAAGTGGAATATTTCTCATGATAATATCCTAATTTACCTCTCTTGTACCTCTCAAAAGATAATACACCAAGCAATATACTTGCATTTGGAGGCTGTGTACATGGCTAAATCAGAGCAGTTGTTCAGTGCTGCACTTAAGAAATGACTAGATGTAAAAAGTGTTTTTTATTTCCGTAGCACTGGGTTTTTGCCTTGCTGACAAAACACTTCACATTTTGTTCCTAACTGCTTCTGCTCCATGTCTGATTACTGCAACCTAAGAAAGGTTGTAGTAACCCTGACAAAACAAAGCATGCATAAGAATGTTTCCATCAGGTCACTGTTTTGCAGTCTTATCTTCCTGGAATATAGTTACTTGTTCAGTGTGCCTAAATTCTTTAAGAAATATCAAATCAGTTCTTATCTCACAGCTAAGGAGACCTAAGAGGCGTGCTGCTGCTCCTCATTTTTTCTCCCTGCAGATTGTTGCAAATTTGTGATATACAATCATGACAACTGGTCTATCAAGGAGGAAAGCGGTGCTCATAAACCAAAGCAGGGAGAAAAAATCTAAATCTGTACATGACACAAGGAAAATAATACTACCAACACAAAAAACTCTTTTTGCACACACATACACGCAAATACATACAGTCATTCTGCGAGCAAACAGCTACTGCACAGTGCAAAACAACTAGACCAATTCATCTAAATTATTACAGCACAAAAAGTACTTGCCCTCCCTCTCATTAAAATTCTCCCAATCACGGGCTTTCTAAAAAAAAAAAAAAATGAATTTGTAAAAAATCTCATTAATGTTAAGTGCTGATAACAACAATATTCAAACTACTGGCAGAAATATGACTGGCTAGATTTATTTTGATTTTTCTTGGAAAAGCCATTTTTTTACCTGTAAAATATGACTTCCCAAATGTGATTCAAATACTTCAATGGCAAGGGCACTGGGACTTCTCCTGCGCTGGGCACCTATAACTGAATAAAAAACAATTATGTTGCAAGGTCTGCACATTCACTTCTAATGCATCCCTGATCACACCACTGGACATCAACTATTTAAATATAAGTTTTGCATTTTAAACACCAGGGTTAATTTCAAATTTGCCTTGCGTACAGTAAGTAAACTTGCTATGTAATTTTCAGTGACTGAAATTTTAAGCAACTAAAATTCTAAGCATAAAATCATTCTTTTTTAAAAAAGCTGTTTAAATGTCCAGGAACTATGGAAACGAATAGTTTATTCAAATATGTCCCAAGTTCCTGTAGAAGAGTTTTTGTACATAGCGTTGAGCGCATGCAGAATTTAGTGAAAAAAAATCATTGAAAAAGACTCTAAATATAATTTACATGTTTTGAAATGTGGGAATGAGAGCTAAATATTACCCAGCAATTAGAAAGATATGAGAGAGATTTATCTGAACAGTTACTTATTTGAAACCGAAATGAAGTAAGCACAACATTAAAAAGTCATCATCTCTTAACAGCTGCCCTATCACGACGGATGAGACAGCAAAGTTATTCCTAAGTATGAGGAAATATTGTAGTATTTGAGATATCATTGTTAGCTGCTGGAAAAGGTACTTGAAACTACAGCTTCTACTCTTAAAAATATATGCTTTAATAGTACAAAGCAAGTAACAGGCAGCAGTTTTCAAAGGCAGCAGTGACTACAAAACAAGCTGAAAAATCATAAAGCCGAACTTTCATTAAACTCTCTATGCCAGGAGTGCAAAGCCAGGAAGTGAGTACAAGTATAACCAAGAGGAGGCATCTACTGCAAGCTGAGTTTTCTTCTTAGGTCCAGGTTTTATTTGCCACATGACCAGAAAGAGACAAAGAATGGAAAAGAAGGGGGAATAGGGCTGGAGGAACCTTCCCTTCCTTTTATATCTTTGCGCCAAAGCCAGGGCTATATACAGCAGGGAGAGAAGAAGTGAAGTTTGTTCTATACCCTTTTAAAGCATGCACAAAAGCTTTTACATCCAAAGATGCTGATGGTCTTAGGCCTCTGGAACCATCGGAGCATCAGTGTGTATTGCTCTCTTTTCAAGGCACCATCTGATTAAAATCACTCAGCAAGGATACTCAATAGTAATATTTTTAATAAGAAACAGGAAATACAAAGGAACCACTCAAACAACCAGAATGGACGAGTGCCATTACTGAACAGGCTAATTTAACACCAATGAAAACAAACTATAGAGCAACAATTTTTAAGTCTTCTATGATACTGGCTGCCAAACATGACATCAGTGAGAGAAGATATATGCCAAGTAATGATAGTCATATTGACTTAAAAATGTAATATTGCTCCTTATTGATGCCCCATGTAATTTCCTTGCAGGAAATTCTAAGCTATTTATCCTGGGCAAACAGGTGGCTTCACTGCTAACAGATTCGGGCTACAGCTCATAATTACAAATGGTGACTGCTTTAGACACGGTGTTTTCTGAATCCTTTTCTTTTCTCTAAAGGAGTTCAAGGACATAGATGCTAACAACTTAAGAAAATAAGTCCTCTTCAAGACTACTTCTTTCCATTGTAACTAAAGTTGCTAATAGACTGATATGATCTACCTGTCTTAACTTTAGTTAGTGTAGTTACTGATGAGACATGTCAGCATAATATTACGCTTTTACTGGCTTTAGGTATTTATTCACTCTTCTATTTTTCTATATCAGTCTTCTGATCCTAAATCATTTTGCTTCTCTTTGCATTGTCTCATCTTTTTTATAGCTATTTACAGTAATGCCCACTTCAGGAAAAAAAAATCAGAGTATCTTAAACTTTCTAGCAACTTAAACTCCATTAACAACTTCTTTTCCACAGATGTAAAGATGATCCCTCTTATTTCTTACACTACCTCCACATATGTTATCCAAGGTTTGCCAAAACTGGGGTTGTATCTACATTTCCATGAGAAACTTTAGCTTTAGTTATAGGACGAAATAAAATATACGGCGTTGTAAAGATCATCAGTGTTCCCATTATGATTGCTATCAGTTAGCAATGTGTTTTGTACGGTCGCTTCACTTATAATCTACCAGAAACAAAAAGAAAATTCACATATTTTGGACCATTAGGCATTGTTTCATATTAGTCTCCGTAATAACGCTGCAAAAAGCAAAAAATAACACCCCCCCCAAAACCACAAAACCCCTGACATCTTTTAGAGGGTTTCATTCCTCCATCTAGACTGTGTTACATTGCTTGAACACATCACCACTCAAACACATCACTACTCAGAATTCATCTTCTGATTTTGTTTCCTGCATTATATCACTCCCTTACAAGCTACAGGCATTTTTATATGAATCCATCATATTGAATGTTGCTTCCTGTTCTATGATATTAATTGTCAATCGCAGTTTTTTAGCATGTGAGTTTCACAACATGAATAAAATGCATGAAGACAATTAAACACTTTTGTTAAAACAGTATCTTAAACTTTGAATAACGTTTACTGGTAAGTCATCAGTTCTACCTACTTCAGACACACTCAAACCTATAGTTTAAATGAAAACACTTCAATGTCAGTGAGTTAACTGTAGAAAACACAAGAGGGCCAGATCTTAGCTTCAAAACTTTGTCAGCTAAATCATCTAAGAGTCTATGCCTGCATCCTAGCGGCTGGTATATACGTACACAAATATCCTGCAATAGCTTCATGCTATTCAATTCATTGCCATTTTTATAGCACTAGAACACCTCTTGATGTATGTGTTTTGCACTTACTCAGGTGACATGGGGTTGTAATGACAGTGCCTAATTTTACAAACAGCATAAAGATGTTACATAGGGAACCATTATGCTTCTAGTTGCCATACTGCAACTCTCACTTTTTGGTAACTGAGTACATGTCAAATATGCACTTTTTGTATTTCAGGGCAGCCAATATTTCACTATCGTTTTTAGTATTTTGAGGAATGAGACAAGAATATTGAGATAATTCCAGAACAAGGAAAACAGTCTTATTTTCCTTGCTCCTCTGACCTTATTGCTTCATTATTTTACTTATTCTAGCTTCCACAATTTCTTGATAACCATCTGCAGCTGGAAAAAAAAACACTTTTGGTATACAAATGCATATCACATTGATACCTTTCAAAAACATGGCCATCTCACAGTCCAATCACAGCACAAAGCCTCTTATTTGTACTGAATAGATCGCTGGCATGATAATAGATGAAAGGAAGACAAACACTGAAATGGTTGGATTAAAAAGCAAGCCACAGTTTTATTTTATTATAAAATTTTGAAACATAAACTATAAATGCTGAATTGGCTTCCATCGTATAAGCCACAGCCAGGCATCTCTAAATCTCTCAGCCTGTGGATGGAACCATCAGCAGCCAAAGCTTAGCTGTTCAGAGAAATCTTGGAAAGCAAAGGATTTAGGATTTATGTCATAACATCTATAAATCAAAGTAGCTCAAGAGCCTTCACAGACCTAAAGATCTTTTTTTAAAATGTGGATTCCTTCTAAAATGTAGCCTCTCTACAGAAACAAAGTATTGGATACATGGAGTAAATTTCTTTATTGACAAAAAGGAAGTAGGGAAAATTAGGATGTGGAAAAGGCTGAAGCATGGGTACCAACTGAAACAGCAGTCCAGAAACAGATTCCAAAATTAAATTGGAATTAAATTAAATTAAATTCTTCTTCTAAGCTCCTCCTGTTTTACTAGTATGAACAAACTTCTTTAAATAGGCTTTTTCATATGTGGCCATATTTTTCACTGTCTACGTTTAATTGACAAATTTAAGGTTTTGATATACAATCGCTGAGTTTAACAGAAGAGTTGGCTGAACCAGTATTTCCATTAAACATTGACTATTAATAACAATAAGAAGAGAGAGAGACTGTTTTCACATATGCACTTGTCCTGCTGGAGTAGAAGCATCTGTCTACCAAACTCTTTTATGACAATACGTGGCATTGGACCTTGGATCTTACTATCTAGACTGACATGCCTATTCCTAGCATATGATTACTACATAACAGGCTATCAACAAGGGAAAAATTCTAACTGCTAACAAATTCCTCCTTAAAATTTCCTCCCTCGATGACTACTCTGGCTATGCATGAGGTGAAGGAAGAACCACATCCCTTTCAGTGTGTCTTGGGGGCAGTCTAAGCATGCTTAATGCAATCTCAAGAGCAATTGCAATTGTGATAGGAAGAGTTAGAGACTCCATGGGAAAGAAGAATGTGGACTGCTTAACAAAGATTTCCATACATCCTAAAGAAAGAGGATTTCCTCTTAAGAATTTCAACTCACTTCTAAGCTATGGGGCATAGAATGACCAAAGACTGATGTCCACTACAACTTTCTAATAGAGAAGACAGAGCTCTAATTAAGCAGAAGCGGTATTGCTTGATTGCTAGGAGTCAAAGCATACCACCAGCACAATATTAAATTTCCTCTAAAATAAGACATTATTTTTGTGAGACTTTTCATGCCTCCTCTCAACATCAGTTGGTTTTGTAAAATTCAGACCAACAGTTTTAAAGTTGTGTTGCTCTGATAATTTACTTTTAAAGACTGTTCTGAACTTTTTAAATTAATTTTCCTGAATTGTTATTTACTCAAAAGGCCCTTTCTCAATTAACCCCCCCCCCCGAATCCTAATTTTTATATTCACTTTGTTGATTTTTATGAGGATCATCTTTTTGTATGCCTGGAAGCAGAGGCACAGGTAGGGCCATCCTCCTACACCCTTTTCGTGTAATCTGCTGTCTGGAGAATTACAAAAAAGACAGCCTATGTTTCACTGTTTTGATCTTGAAGAGCTCTAATTTTAACTGCCAATAAAGTCTGACTTTAATTAGTAAAGCTAAAGCAGACCTACATAAATATAAATGTCCATAAAAACCCCACCAAAAAGAACATTATGTGTTTTAATCACAAACTGTGCAACCAAAATCAGCTAACTGCATGGAAGTTTCATATTGTGCTGGCTAATATTTCTGC